GTAAAACCAGCAGCTGTTGTAGAACACACAAGAGCTTCAACAGCGACATTTTTCATAGGCCCACGTTTAAATGAGATGTGCAGAAAACGGGGGCCTGGGCAACGTGGTGAGTTCAAAGTCGAAATGGCATGCCTGTGTTGATAACCTGGGCCATTTTATTTGGAAATGGTGCCTACGTACTCGCTTCATGGGCCTCGCCATTGTCCTATAACACAGCGTGTGCCCACTCATTGGCATTTTTAAAGGGTGGAAAGTGCTGTGGAATTCCGACCTGTACACGATAACTCAAAATGGCATTCCCCACCCATGAGGGCTGTTTTAAGTCGGGACGGGAAGGTGGGTTGGCCTCTGGCAGGTTTCACATCCAAGTCCCCCTGGGAACCCCAACCCCCAGAAGGCTCTCCAACTTCTCACTCCCAAAATGCCCTGGAAGAACTTATTTGCTTCCGCGAGTTTTTGTTTTTTAACAATTTTGTGTGCGGCCACCACGACCTACATTCTCCTGCGGGACTCTGTGAACTGGGGAATAACAAGAGTTTAAACTACACAACAGTTCTGCAGCTCACAGTCTGAGCTTTGCTAAGCTCCGCGGGGGTTCGCATGCGCCCGCAATGTTCACAACTCAAGAGCCGCCCCAAAATCGACCCCCCTTTTCGCACATGCCTCGTTTTCTCTTCCCTTGTGGCTCAGCGGAGTCCGCGGCGCAGTAAAGGCACTTTCAACTTTGCCCTCCACCACCTAGCAGCAAAATCCGACTCGACGGCTGCGGGTTGTGCGCATGCGCGGGGCGAAGGTGCAGGAGTGGGGAGGGGACAGCAGGCTCCGGGCAGTGGCTTGAAAAAGCTCGAGCTACGGGGAGCGGGGGAGGGGTCGGGGCCCGGACCGAGCCTCTGCTTTCCTGCCAGCAGGTCCTTGCTTGGCCCTGGCCCGCCTCTCACAAGTGCGCGCTAAAAACCCACTTCAAAGTCTGTTCTCCCCGCAGGGGCAGGCTCTCGCACGGGCCTCCAACCAGGTCCCGGGCCTCGCCAACCCTTCCAATCCCTAACACTGCTAAGAGACCGGAGGGCCAAGGTAAAGGACACTCGCTTAAGAGCCCCGGGAACTCAGAGCAGTTTTCGGGTGTACAAGTACCTTCCTCCTTCTCCTCCTCCCACCCCTGCCTTAGGAGGAGGAATGGAACACAAAATTTGTGGCCAGCGTTATGCCGTGCCTTCGGAGCTCACCATTGTTTGGGCTCCTATTGACCCTAGGCCCGGATTAGGCGGCGGCTGATTCCTGCTTTACAGCCCCGTCGGCCTAATGACGCCGGGAGGTGATGGGGCGCGAAGCGCGCTCGGAGCCCAGGCGACCGCCGGCTTACAGCGCCGAGGGCCCGGTAGGTGGAGGTCAAAGGGTCATCGGGCCGAGGCCGCCTGAGAATCAACCGTAGGAAATGAGGTCCACCCCTGACCCCGCCCCGCTCCCAGCTCCAGCTTCTACTTGTGTGGACGGAGAATCTGGACGCCCCTCCGAGGAGCCTGAAAGACTAGCAGAGCGGGAGTCCTGCCTTCCAGAACGCCTGGTCTCATCGTGGGCAAAACCTGACTACACACTTGAGCCTCGACGGTCAGATATTTCGAGAGAAATATCAGCCCACCTACCAAGCGGAGAACCGCTCTTCAGGGGATGGGCACGCCAGTGGCAATTCTTTGGGAAACCTAAGGGGAAAGATACCCTTAGACTTTTTTCGCTTGTTTGGATGGGGCGGGTAGTTATACAGGGGATGAGAGGGGGCCAGGGGAGAAGGAGACAGCAGGCAGCGAGAAGGGGGAAGGACAAGGAAGTCCTGGACCCAACTTTCCTGGGAGGCTTTGTGAACGGAGGCTGTCCCCACTGGCTCTCCAACCTTGGAAGTAGCTAAAACTGACTACCCTGCTTAGCCTGGACCCAGATCTTTAACCTTCCAAAGTAGATGAACGACAAACTTCTGTGTTGAAGTATATACCTCCCCCTTCCCCACCCAACAGTAGAAATCTTAAGCTAAACCGCCCACTTTGGAAGATAGTGGACTTTTTAACAAAGTTCTTACCAGGAGCAAGAATGAAATTCGAGGTAGACTACTTAGACTTAGAACCTAACTAACATTCATGGTTTCCACAGATCCATCTTTAGGATTGCAAGATTTTGTTTGGGGAGTGGGTGAGGATGCTTATTCTTTTAAGATATTTTCTGAAAATTCAAGAATATAAATATACACTCTCAGATTCAAATTATAGGAAGAAAATCTGTGAAAAGTGTCCTACTAGTAAAATAAGTTTTTCTTGGGGGAGAGAAGGCGGGGACGGGACATAGACTATTTGCTATTTAACAAATATGATGCTACACCCAAATTAGAGGAAATTGTGTAGGGGGCAAAACTTTTACATTATCTTAATATTGTTATCATCATTGTCAATTGGCATTTTCTCCTGTTAGAACACAGTGCTTTACAGTAGAATTTTTGGTAAAACAATTTCAAGCCTACTCAGGAACGATGAAACTCTTCTTTACGTCTCCTAAGAAGATATTTAATATATGTAATGGGGGTGGAGGTGAAACAAGTTTCCAAAAATCTTGCATCAAACCCCCCACTCTACTCCCATTTAAGGTTAGGTTTAAGTTGGGGTGGGGGTGGAGAAGAAATCCATGAAGAAAACAGTGAACTGTTGAAGTTCACTTAATATTTCACAAAAAAAAACTATTCTATTTAGATTTTAGTTAGAACATATTCACACCCAATCTTGTGAACATACACTTTCTGAAAGTTTGCTGACCATTTAAAACACTCTGGTGTGAAGTGAAGGAAAAATCCTGAAATAGGAATTTGCTCCAGCACCCTCAATGTCAAGGTCAAGAGTGGAATGTCTGGGGTAGGAGTGGTATGGCAGACTGACCAGGTTACTTGCTCCTCACTTGTGAAGTCATCCCAATCTCTGTTCATGTTACTCAGGCCCTTGCCTTTTCTACTGGTAGAGGAAAATGAAAAAACAAACAAACAAACAAAAACAAAAAAACCCTCCATTCTCCACAAACAAAAAATTTCATCCAAAGGAATTTACAATTAGAAACTGTTAATAATTGTCTGTTGATAAGCCTCAGTAGGTAACTTAAAATATACTGCTTCAACTGTATCCAGGGAATCAAAATTTCTTTTAATCATCAGTTCTCTGAGCATGTCAATTTAAGGTTGATTTATTTAAACGTTTGAAAAAAATCAGGCACCAAATACAAAAATGTTATAAATAAGATGTGCCAAGACTTTATTTCTTCAAAAATAACAATAAACAGAATTCTAGAATTCAAAATGATTATTTATATTACCAAATTGACTGCCACCAGAAAAACCTAGAGCATTGTCCTTTCAAGAAAAGGTACTTAAGCCTATTCATTACATTTCTAAATTCTTTACAATTCCTTATCTCCAACATTCTATTAACTGATTTGCAAGCTGGTTATTCATGCAGAAATTGGGCTCTCAATATTAAATAGCACCCTCATTTATTTAAAAAAGTCTCTTAATACTATACCCACTCCAGCCCTCCAAAATAGTAAGATTCTTTTTCATATAACTGTAAAACAACTGTCTGTCTAAATGAGTTGTTTCACTGAAGATTAAATGGATTGTTAATATTTTATCACAAAGCAAACAACCATTTTTCATTGTTATTGATTTTAATGGAAACAATGCTCTTAACATCTTTGCCTACAAACCATGAACTTTAAAAATACATATTTTGCAAATGTTTTCCTTTCCATAATATAATTTCAGAACTGCTTTAGTTATCACATTGCTATAAAATGTTATGAATAATTGTGAAAATTATTGATTATATACAGCAAAACACATCCCTTTGCCTTCCAAATTTATAAATGGACTATGGTTTTTTTAAGCACTTTAACCATAGTAAGCACAGCTCAACTGGCCTTATTCATCACCACTGTTTCAGACATATGCTTACTTTTGAAAATATATAGATAGCTAAATAGATTTGATAGATTAGATAAATCATAGATACAAACATATGTGGGTATATGGGTGATCTCTTGACAGAATAGACAGACATTCATCCTGCTACAATGTTCATTTTTATGTAAGGCAATAAAAAACTAAGGGACATAAAACTCATTAGGTAACTTTATGTTTATATATGCAGGACAGGGATGATTAAATCCAGTTCTCAGTCTTTGAAGTACAAGATTGAGATGTCATGGCCACTAACTGAATTGATCAGTAATATTTGACTTGCATGCCGAAAATCTGGGACAAACATATTTAAACTTGCAGTTAAAGAACCATCTGAGCTACAGATAAAGAAAGGAGGGTCTTCCCAGGTGAAAACTGACAATGTAAGGAATCTATACCATAGTAGAAAAATAATTTAACAATTTAAAAAAGGGATCTGAGTGAGTTATAAATACCAACAAACAAGATTCATCTGCTCACGTCTCCTCTTTGTAGGAGGCTGTTACAAAACAAGAGAAAGGAGTCAGTGGTTCAAAAATTGTAAATTTTGTTCTTCTTTCAAAACAATAAAATTTAACGCTAAAGCAGTTATAATCAAAAGCTGTACAGAATTTGTTAGAAAACATTTATCCATAAATATTGTTCAGTTCCCGGCACTTGTAGCAATAATTAAATTACAACGATAAATATGGCATCAATGGATATGTATTTACAAAAAAAGTTATTACAAAGGCAACTGTATACTAAATGTCACAATCTGTGTAGAGTAACATCACATCCTCAGGCTGAAAAATACTGAACAACAGTTTTGACCCCATTAGACAAAAATACATTCACAAGAGTAATGCTTTGAGGAAAAGTTCAAGACATAACAGGACTTTGGCACGGTTTAAGACTGAGAGTTTAAACAATCACCACTAAGGAGAAGAATTTTCATCAGTTTAACATCTCTACCACCAATCCTTCTATAACTTCCTCTCAGGAAATAGGACAAATGTTAAAATGAACTGAAGGAGTTTAGGTATGGGATGTGCAGAGCAAGAGAAAGTGGAAGAAAAAGCAGTGAAAATATTTTTTAATCCTTCACATGTGAAAACATATTTCCTAATCCTGAGAAAAGGGCATGGCTACTTTTGGCTCTTACCCAGAAACCTTCCTGGACAATTGCAATTAACAAGATATAGCCCTATTTATGGCCTCTTGCCTTAAAACTCCATTTCCATTTGACTGGTCTCACTTTTCTTTTAAAAATGCATTTGGTCCATTCTATGGTTAACAGGGTTTGTGTTTGTATTTGTCCTCAGACGTACCATTCGTTAAAATTGGGAGGAAGTCCAGGGTTGTGGCTGGTGCTAGTTTGAACTGCAGAAGGGGTTTTAGTGGTATCTTTACTGTTTGCAGAAGCTATAGCGGGTGGAGTGGAAGATTCATAGCCTGAACTGGCAGCAGGGGAGGAATCTGACCCTTGAGATTCATGAACCTAAAATTAACATGTATATATTATAATGAATATAATTCCAACTGGCATTGTGCAAGCAAAAACAAGAGCAGAATCCGAGCACTGTAAGAACAAAACAGCCCAGTGACCCACTTAAAAGAGAAACGCTGCTGATTTTGTTTGTTTTTAATTTCCGTATTACCAACGTCTAGAAAATCCGGAGATGTTCCCCAACAAAACAGTTTCAATCCTAATATTGGCATATGGAAGAAGAATAAGGCACTGTTTTTATTATTCATGCCCCTTCAAAAATGTTTTCTCCGCAGATGGAGTGGGGCAAACACTTAGTCTTTTGGGGCCGTATAAAATACTCCGGACCCAGGTTTCACCAAGCCCGGTTTGGCTTGGGAAAGCAGGTACAGAGAAAGATGGCACGAGCACCCTAGGCGCTGCTAGGTCTGACATAAATGCGTGGGAATCAGACCTCGCTTGTCAGCTCTATTGTTTTATGCGAAGCTGGAGAGCGAATGAACCACCCACCCCCGGGTTCGGCACGGGCACTCTAGTTTCCTACTCCGGACTGAACTGGGAAGAGGCAGCCCCTACAACCTCCAGTCCAGGCGAGCTTGGCAAGAGCTTCCCAGTAAACAACCAATTGTTCCCTCCGCTCCCTCCTCCTCCCTACAGTATTCTCCCCCGCCCCACTCCGGGTCCCCAAAATGGGTCCTAGGTGTCACGGCTGGAGCAAATCGGATTTAAAGTGGAGAATACAGGTGGTCGGCACGGGCGCTTCAGTTCCGCGGCCCGATATTGGGCCGAGTATTTATAAACCGCCGACCGCTAATAAAGAGGTAATTACCTTCATGTGCTTGCGCAGAGAGCTCGGGTGCGTGTAGGACTTGTCACACACTTTGCAGATATAGGGCTTGTCCGAGGTATGCACGTGCATGTGCTTCTTGCGGTCGCTGCTGTTGGCAAAGCGCCTGTCACAGCCTTCAAATTCACATTTGAAAGGTTTCTCACCTGCAAAAGGCAAAAACGCAAAGGGGGGGAAATATGGTCAGGGCCAGGAGCTTCCTAGAGCCGAGCGGCGGAAAACGGAGCGCCCCGGGATCTTCCTGGAGAGGGAGTGCCGAGTGGAAACGGCTGCAACATCTCTTTTCCCTGGAGAAAAATGGAGAGCGCTGGTTAAGCTCTCGGTTTTGGGGAGTGATGGGCGGGGGTGGGGCAGGGCTGGCTCATAACCTGCCGTACCCTTTGTTCTCGCGCAGGATGGGAAAGCCCCAGGCTCCTCCAAAGTTCCCCCTAAATTGTACTTGTACTCTACCCGGTCCACGGTTCCCAAATCCCAGCCACATTCTGCCACTACCTAGGCAATGTAACCAATCCCCGGCCGCACAATGGACCTAGGACGGGACAATCCGGTTCAGTTCCTTCTTTGTACCAGTTAATTTGCCTCTTTCAAATGCAGCGATTTTGCTAAGCCAGTATTAAAAATCTTGAGTCGTCGTACTTAACCTTCAGAAAGAAAACTATATAAATCCAGGGACTCCAGACAGTTTACAAGATGTTCAGAGCAAGCCACGAAACTGTGATGCCTTTTCTACGTTAGGTTTCCTCCCGAAGGACTGAATCGAACCTGGAACTCCAAATAAAAATAGTTTGACAAAGGTATTAGTCATTTAATTAGGAGATATGCCAATCATGGGTTAAAAAAGAGCGGAAGTAACCGAAAGTTAGCTTTCATTAGCATTTCTATGGTTGCCTTTCCCGAATGTGTGCCGAAAGCTAAATCGCTTGTAAGCAATACGCTCTCAACACAATCGGAGTCCCTTCATAGTAACCCAGAAAGGGGGACAAGAAGAGGCGGCGCCAGTTTGTTTCTGGGTGCCAGAAGTTTCCAATTAGGTTTTGAGACGGCAGAGCAATGTGCCCGGGAAGTTAGAAGTGGGCAAAAGCGCCACAGGGCGAGAAAGGCGAGAGATAGAGGGACACTGACAGCACTTCCTTTCCAAAAGGCCCTGGAGACGCTGCCCCTCTCTCTTGCCCTCAAGCTGAAGGTCCGCTCCTCCGCGCTGTGCCGCGGTGAATCCCGCGATCCCTGCCCTTCTCCCTTACCTGTGTGGGTCCTCTTGTGGATCTTGAGGTTCTCGGAGCGGGCAAAGATCTTCCCGCAGCCCGGGAAGGGACATGGGAAGGGCTTTTCGCCTGTGTGCACTCGAATGTGGTTGACCAGTTTGTACTTCGCCTTGAATGACTTTCCCTCGCGGGGGCACTCCTCCCAGTAGCAGACGTGGTTGTTCTGCTCCGGGCCCCCCACATGCTCCATAGTGACGTGTGTCACCAACTCATGCATGGTGCTGAAGGTCCGGTCGCAGCTCTTCTTGGGTCGGCTTATCTGAGTCTCGTCGATCCACTTGCACGACAGCTCCTGCTTGATGGGCTGCCGCATATAACGGAAGAAGGCGCCAGGTCCGTGGTGGGCCGCCACGTTCACGCCCATGTTCATGTTCATCGGGCTGTAGTTTGGAAACTGTGCGCCCGTCGTGTAGGGATCCGTGCGCGGGCTGGCCACCGTGCGGTATGGATCCGCACGTCCAAACAGCTCCCCGCGAAGACCCAGGTGGACCTGGTTGTTGTCCACGTGCCCTGTAGGTGACGGGTGCCCGGCGCTCTGCTCATGCAGTCCGGGGAAGAGTAGATAACTTGGGGGTTCTGGAATACCAGCTGGAGCATGGAGACTGCTCGCCGAACCCGCGAAGAGCGCGTGCTGCCCGCCACCTGAGGCAGCCTCGCTGAGCCCGGAGCCACGCTGGCGGAACAGAAAGTCGCGCGTGGAATTGAAGGCGGCGGAGGCGGCACCGCCGTAGCTGGGCACCTGGCTGGTGTGGTGATGATGGTGATGATGGTGGTGGTGGTGGTGATGGCCCAGGGCATTTGCGTAACCGGAACCCTGCGGCGTGAACGCAGAGCTCTGGCCAGAAGATAGATCGTGAGCTGCGGCTGGGCTCAGCTTGAAGGCAGCGGCGGCGGCGGCGGCGGCGGCGGCGGCGTGGGGCGAGTCCCCGAAAGGACTCAGCCCCATGCCCGCCGGCTCGCGGTTGGGCATTTCGTGGTGGCGCGGCGCGCCGAAGCTGCCCACTCCGAGCCCAGGGAACTGTGGACCTCCATCCAGGAGCATCGTCATGGGTGGGGCGTTCTGGGTACAGGCGACCTGGCTGCAGAGAGCGAAGGTGCGGGTGAAGAGACCTCCGAAGTGCTGTAATCGGAGAGGGGTGGCGGCGGTTGGACACTGCCGGGAGACCCCCAAGGCAGTACCAGGGGCTGCAACTTTCCGTCGCTGCGAGTCTCCTGCAGAGGGATAGGAGGGAGGAGGGGAAGTAGAAGGAGCTGGAGTAGGGAGGAGGGGGGTAGAAGGATGGGAGGGAAAGGGATGAGAAAGACTCTAGGACTAGATCTGGTTTAACAAAGTAAAAGGCGCGCACAAAGAAAAATAAGCAAAATAACAAGTGGAGGGCGGAGTTTGTCAATCCTGTCCCAAGCACCCCTCCTCTCCCCGAGAGCACAACCGCGGGTCCAGGAGGCTCTCTCCACACGGGTCTGCAGCCTGGGCTACGCTAAATGGCAGAGCCGGTTCACGACCGCCGGGCGGGCAGTAGGCAAGAGGCAGGCTCAGTCCGCGCCGCTCACCGCGCGAGTCTCAGCCTTCTTGCCTCTTGAGTAATGTCCTTGGACTGATAAAGTCAATCACTCACTCCTTTCACATAAACAGAGCGGGAGGCCAGGCAGCGCGCGCCAATGGGAAGCCAGCTGTCCCGCGGTCACCTGACCCCCGGCCCTGCAGCCCATTGGCCACCGCCACACTGATTGGCAGCGCGGAGTGGGGAACATGGCAGCCGCGGTCCAGCGACCACCTCTGATTGGACCGTGACCAAGCGCTTGGCAGGTGAGGCGGCTGAGGCCGAGCGCCCGCGAGTGGGCTCGGTTGGGTTCACGCTGCTGTAGAGAACTGGAGCCAGGCTCCAGCCAGGAACCGGCAGGGCAGAGTCAGGCCTCTCCTCGACTTCCCTCCGTCCCGAAGCTGGCAAGCACCCCTCGGGTGCGCTGTACTCGCTTTCACCAAATGAACTCTTTGCCTCGCAAGGATCGTTCCCTCTGTCGGCGAGGCGTCTCACCATCCCGAGAATGTGCCCCCTCGGCGGCCACGGGGCGCCGATCCCCGGACAAGCTCAGCAGTTCCGCGCTCACGGCTCACTAGCTGTCTCCTGCCTCCATGCCACCGTGGGCCCTGATGGTCCAGAGACCACGGAATGAGGTTGGCCAGCTCACCGTCTGTGCCTGAGCTGCTGCCGGCTGTTTGACACCCAAGAAAGGAGAAATGATTACAATTAGAGCTGATTTCTCTCCCCTCTAAACCAAGCGTTGAATCTTTAGTTTTGAGTAGTGGCTATAAGTTGCCGCTGTCCACCCTTTCCCCATGGAACACTAGACACAACACAACAAGCCTATAACACAGTAGATACATGCACGCAGCAGGAAACATGCACGAAACACAGTAAAAACGAACACACCACACTAAATACGCACACAACCAAATAACAGTAAGCGCACAAGCCAGTGACAAAACAAACCTCACAGAAAAGGGAGTAAATACGCACACATTAACAGCAAATGCACACACAAACATAAATACTAAATATGCACAGAATGCACTTAGCTTTGACAGTGTAAACAAAACATGCACACAAAAAGCTAAACGCACTATATGGGAAACTCACTAGACACAAACAGGATCCGCGCAGTTTTCAAACCACGGGGTTAATCAGCCTCGAATTTTCAACATTTTCAAAAGCAACTGTAGGAGGGAGTGGAATGAACACTGTAAGATGGAATCCCTCCCCCCGTCCCACATACACCCCTCCAACAGCCAAGGCTTTGCTATCTTCTACTTCTATCCGGAGCAGGAACGGGAATTCTTATCCATTAAGGATATACTTTCCAGGGTTGTGTATGGGACCGCTCCCCACTTCTATCTGGTGTAGTCTTTCCAGACATAATGACAGGTTCAGACAAAGCTATAAATCCACTCATTTTTTTTTTTTTTGGTCTGGTGGGGCATTTGCAAAGAATACAGGCAAGTGAGAGTGGAAAGAAAAGGCCAGGAAAAAGATGGCTGTGATAGTCACATCCCTAACAGGGCCAAGCCCCAAAGTCTGCGCCTTGAGAAAGCCTCACAGCCTGGCCGCCATCTCTCTGTAGGAAACATCTGATCAAGTTCAGAGGCGCTCGGAGAGACCGCCTCAAGCAGCACTTTATAACAGCAGCCTTTCACTTCCTGCTCCCCAGTCTGCTTGGCCAGACCAACACTTCACCTTCTTTCTTTGCCCGTTTGCTGGGAGGAGAACCTGCCAGTAGCACACTTACAGTACTTACCCCCTCCCATCAAATTCGCCCCAGTTCTCCCTCTACATCGAACTCTCGCTCCAGGTTAGAAGGTGAGTTCACTGCTAAGTTAAATTATTACTTTACTGAGAACTGGCTCTACACTAATCGTTTCAGTGTCGCTCAGCAGAGTGTTTCTTTGGGTAGGAGGAGGGAGTGGGGTTCAGAGGAGAACAATACGCCTAAATCATGCAAATAAATTCCCTGGAGTCAGGTTTACAAAAAGGGAGGACTGCTTTTCTTTCTTTTTCTCCTCTCTATTCACTTTCCCCTTTACCTCTCTTCACCTTCCACCAACCCCCACGGACCTTGGGCGGGGGTAATTGGTTTGAAAAAGTTTGGATTTCCTCACAGTGCCTGTCCTGAGGAGAGCGATTCTGAAGGCTCAAGGCTCGGGGGCAGGGAAGCGGTGACTGTCGAGCTCTAGCTTGGCCAAGGGTTTCCGGGAAGCCCCGTCAGGTATCCCTAGTACTAGGGACCTTGAGAGTTTGGGAGTCAGGCTGAGGACAGAGGGCGGTGGAGGGAGCCCAACCTGCCCCTTTGCGGGGAGGGTCCCTAACACAGGGAAGAGGGGGATGTTGCCGCGGATGACCTACACCGTGCCCAGGGTCCGTTTTGATATGGCCACATTCCGATAATTAATTGCCTCCAGCACGTGCTCTGTGGTCACAGGAACAAAAAAGGCATAATTCAATTAGATCATCAACCGCGAAGTGGGGAGGGGAGATGCTTGTTAAGGGGCCGACCTGAGGCGGTTCAGCCAGGCCAAAACCGCGGGCGGTGGAGCCTTTCCTAGGGCAGCCTGGCCCAGCCAGAGGGTGCGACTCTGAGGAGATGTCGTCGCTGCGTGTGTTGCGGGGAATCCAGATGCCCCCGAAAGGACAGTCTGGCGGCTTTGTGAACAGCAAGGCAGAGGCAGGCTATTTCGAATTCTATTTAGGTTGGTTTGGGTGGAGGTTTCCTTTTGGGGGAAGGGGAACCCTGACCCTTGAAACATAGTAGAAATCGAAATATCTCCAGATACAGCAAGTTACTGCATGTGAAAACAAAGACGCCCTCCCCCAGCAAACCACTCCCGTAAGGTAATAATAATAATGCGAAGTTTTCCTGATTACCTGAAGTCCCTACCTCTCAACTCTCTTTTCGGAGGAGACCCTAGGAACAACTTCGGGGGACAGGGGGCTTTGTTGAAGTTAATCTGAGAGCAGAGTGGTGACTAAAAGAGGAGAGCACAGAAAAGTTTTTCTTGCACATAGGCTGGGGCAAATGAAAACTCCCGTTTCTTCATTTCTCTGGTGGTGAAAGCACTCGCTGGGCTGGGCTGGGCTGGGCTGGGCTGGGCTGGGCTGGGCTGGGCTGGGCTGGGCTGGGCAGGGCTGGGCAGTTTGAACCCAGGGGTCGTGGTTCTTATTTTACGCTGTAACCGAGGCTCTCTGGGCAGCTTTGGCTTACTGGGGTTTACATGTGTGTTAGGCGGTGTAAATTAACCAATAAATCTGTTTTATGCGTCCCCCAGTTGTATGTGGTCTGGTCTAAATATCCACATGTCTGCATGGATAGGAAATATAATGGGATCCTTTCCCTCACGCTGAGCTCCAACAGTAAATAAGAAGAAGATTTATTTTTATGTCCAAATCTGAAGCAACAAATAAAATCAGAGAAACTGATCATTGCCAAATTAGCAAACCTTTGAGCCCTAGTTTTTGAGATTCATCTTGGAGAAGCAGGAGGAAAACAGAATGTCCAGAGGGGCAAGAGAGATGGTTTCTCTGTACAACCCAAAGCCCCATTCTGCAGCACTTATCTCTGCACTCCAGCATCCTAAGAAACAAAACACATACAGCAAGTTCTATTATCGGGCAGGATTTCTTCTTAAACACATTTTCTGTGGCGAACATGAAATAATCCTAAGTCGGAGACCTAGCAATTTTCTCTAAGTCCAAGGGAAACACTGCAGTCTTCTGTTTTTTATTTAGAAAAGACTTGCAATCTAACACTCGCAACATTTTAAAGACCCTTTAAACCCAGCAAGCGGATTTCCGTTCTGCCAATGCTTCCTGATTTATTTCAATAAATGAATCTTTGAATCCAGGAAGGGAATTATTCAAAGACACTGAATTTGGGTGCCCCTACCTCTCCTTAGTGGAGCACGAAGTGTTTCTCGTTGAAACACGTCTTTGAAACTCTCCATTATTGGATTTTTTTTTTTTCTGGTAAATGACACTTTCTTTACATAAGCCCCCGCCCTCTCTTCAGAGTCCCAAATCTTTTTAAAAGGAAAAACTGCAATCGAAATTAAAAAATGAAGGGGGAAGAAAGCTGGGAAAGGAATGCGTTTTAAACTCCTCTTTATTTTTATGCTAAGATAAAGCTCTTAACTGGTTTCAGGGGCTGAGCTGAACTATCTATCTCCAGAGCTCCGGGACCTCAGACACACTCACCAACCATTCATTTGGACTCCAGGCTTTATCAGCTACATTACAGTTTTTGCTACAGTCCCATCATTTCACAAATATTTTATAAACTCTAAATATCTTTAAAAGTAAATATAGAATAAACAAATAATCATTGTTAATCAACTCTATTAAAAATATGTTTTGCCTTTGTCTTTTGTAGTCCAAGGCATATCACTGCCCAATGTAATGAAAAGCAAAAAAGTCAGTAATGAGACATTTTCATTGTACTTGTCAATCAAGGGTGTGTGTGTGTGTGTGTGTGTGTGTGTGTGTGTTAAACTTCAGAGAC